CTTTTGTTTTGAAGCAGAAATCCTTGAGAGGAGTGAGTTAATGTCTGTTACACACCCCTGACATTCATGTAATCCTGTACCCCAAATGCTGTGTCACATAATGACAGTGTTAACTCCATGGTGCAAAGCACTGGCTAGTGTGTTCGCACTTTACTCCTATTTTTCACGTATCCGAGACTTCAGACAAAGCCTCTTTTTTGCCTGAAGGCTGCCTTCTGCAAACTTAATGACTTTTCACCTTTGCTATGTTGGGAAAATCCCTTCTTCCTTCTTTTCTCTTTCAGCATCCCGGAATCCTGTACCTGTCTTTTTCATGATACTCCAAGGAGAGAGGCAGTCAGGTTTCAGAGTCCCATAGGGAACTAGAAGGGCAGAAGGTACCACAGGCAGAGCAAGGAAGAAGGGTCAGAGAGGTTGTCCTTCTTCCAGTCCTCAAAGCAGCTCTGTGGGGGCCTTGAGACATGCCAACATTCATCCACCGGCCTGGCCCAGGTCCCAGGGTTCTGCTCAGCACTATTTTTTCAAGTTAGAAATTTTCTCTGGAGTTCAGTGAGGTTTCAAGGGATGGGACATGTTTCCCCTCCTCTCTCCATACCAATTTCTTTGGAAGATGAATGCACAAAGTGACTTGGGAACCTTTGTGGATCTTGATCATAAAACCAAAATGCCTCCTAGCTGTGCTGGCCTACCCATCAGCAGTAAGAGGAGAGACTGCACAGACACCCTGATAGAAAAAGATGGGCTTTGTGGAGGCTGAGAGTTGTTGTCTGACACTTGACCTCTGCACTGCCTTCTCCTTCTCCTCCAAGCCCAGGAGTCACAGGTTTGCACCCACAGCCGTAGTGGAGGTGGTCAGAGGGGAGTGCTGCCTGTGGCAGCAGCTACCTGCATGTAAGCTGTGTATACACCAAACCCACACTCCTCCCAGTCTTAAGAGTGGAGGTGATTAGCCTTGCTACCTGTGGCAGTTTCCAGGGGTTAAAAAAGTACAACTATTCCACTGCTCACAATCCTGTCCATCTTCCAGCATGTTCTCTTTTCAGTTGGAAAAACACCAGCGTCTCTCACCAAATTATCCAACATTTGAGCCAACATTTGATCCAACGCAGTTAATACATAAATCCCAGTGTGACTGGCAGCTACAGATGGGTGAACCAAGAAATTGCTTGACATATTTGCTCACACTGCATATGAAACTGCTTATCTTGTACAGGAAGGATTACTCTAAATTATCAGTAATCCACTGGATCTTGGTGGTAGTTGAAACAAATTTGAAAAAATTTGCCAAAACTCCATGCGTGTATATATATATAGATTTATACATTCACATACACACTGTGTCACTGAAGGTGTCACCTGCATGGTGCCTATTTCTCTCACAAGCCTGGACTCACATTAATTCACCCATGTGTGAACAGCTTGAGCACTCTCATCCCTGAGGGCTATCCACAGCCATAAGCTGGTAGAGGGTTATTTCTCAAACATGCCTATCAAGCTCACATTTGCCATCCTGACCTCTTACTTCCTTCCCTTTTTGACCATGGAATTTCTCCTTCTCTCCCCCTTTCCAGGTGCCTTGCTCAAAGACTTGGACCAGTGCTGTTCTGTGCTGTAGGGGAACACTTTGGACCTGATTCTCATTTACACTACAGCAGGTTTTACAGCACTATGGCAGTGGAAAGAAACCATGAGATGAATATAGATCACTCCAATTTAAAGCTCCTTTATGTTATAAGGGAACACCATGAAAATGGAAATTGGGTCCCCTATTTTTAAAGCCTGTCGGCAGGTGCCTATAAAATGAAAAAAGATACTTCCATTGCCTGGGCAATGGGAAATTACATCCTTCTCTGCATTCCTCTTGGTTGTGCTCTGGGCCAAGTAAGGAGCAGGGCGCCCCAGAAGAGACCTCTGAGTGACAAATTGCAGGCCAAGCCTGGCTATTACGTACCTGTCAGAGGATGGGATCCATGTGTAGGAGGATGTTAGTGGGCTCATTCTCAATACAAAAGGCAGATGTAGTAGTCATGATTTGCATCCAGCATCTGGTCTCTGTCCCATGTGGACAAGGCCAGGCCAGGGAAAATGCTGATTTACTGCTACTGTTGATCTCATCTTGGCTTTTCTGATCGCCCCCATCACCACTTCCCATCTCTGCTGACTAACACATGGTGCCAGTGGCCATGGCTACCCAGAAGTGAGGCATCTCCACTGAGCCATTCCCTCACTGGCAGCAATCCCCAGAGACCAGTGCACTGATGCTCTGCAGTGGTGGCGAGGATGCTGGAGCTGGCTCTGCTTTGCAGAACAGACTCCCTCCATTTTGCCTTGCTGTCCTTACTCTGAAACAGGACTTCTGCTGTCCCTGCTTGCTCATTGGCCTTTCCTGACTGTCCTCTGGATTAATTAACACAGGTACTGGAATGAACCTAGTCAGCAGCTGGGGCTTCCTGACTACCTTGTTGCTCCCCATAGGAACTTGATGTCACCTACAAGTACTGCTTCCCTCTTGGGCAAATGGAGATTTATTTTGTTCTTCATGTCTCTGGTAGTGGAAAGTCTGGGTTTGGAGGCTGATTTCCTGTAGCTCCTCAGCTGACGGCTTAGGGCAAACTGCAGGGGGAAGGACTGCATTCATCTTATTCTAGCACTGGTCCCAGCAGCTGGTGTGGGTCTGCGTATGTGAGGCTGACTGAGGGACTGGTGGGCAATTCATGCAGTCCATAAACAGAGGGAGCTGACAGAAAATGTGGCAGGTGAACAGAAATGCAAGGGATGGAAAACTGCTAACGCAAACAAAGTCAAAAATCTGTTTCCTAAAGATGTGGGTGCCATCATGGGCGAGGAGCAAGGCGAGGTAATTTAAACTGTTCAGTGACATTGCTGTGTTTTCACTTCAGGGAAGGAAAAATGAGCTTTCCAGTGCAGAGAACTCTATGAAACCCCTCCAGTATGCAGGAAGGTGGTGAAGCAAGGCAGATAACAGCTGGAAATATGAGAGGAGATCAACTATGTGGTAATGCCATGATATTGTTAGATGGCTTGCTTTTACCTGCAATATTATACTCTACCCTGGAGATCTGTCCACAAAAGGTGTAGGAGAAGTAAAAGGAACTGGAGTTCAAGTAGAAAAAGAGTGGAAAATACAGGATGTCCTTATCAAACACAGGAGATAAATAACAAAAATGTGGTAGACCAGAGTAAAACAATAGATGGGTTAGACAAAGTGTACTGAAGGCTCATAATTATTTTCTTTGTCAGAGATGATTCATTATATTGAAAAGCTGCTCAAAAAAAGCTAGGAAATTATTTTTGTGTGATACATAGCTTTAGGTCTGTAGGAGCTCCTTGCTGTCAAAAATTAATGTGTCCAAAAAACAGAATGGGAAAAAAAAAAAAAAAAGCATGAATATGTGCTATGGAAATACTTTTAATTCTCTGGATTTGCTCCTTCCCAGTTGGATTCAGGACTCTGTATACACCGACTGTGCAAGCAGAAGGTGTCTCCCAGTCATGCTGATCTGCAGCCACAGGTCCAATCACTTTTGCAACTCCAAGGTCATCCCTCTATCGTTAACGAGGTAGTTACTCATCACCTAGGATATAACTGGCAGGCAGCACAAAGCAGGATGTGGCCTGGGTAATGTAATATTTATTCCACAGGCTTTCAGCTTCTGCAGCCCTTGTGGGGGCTACTGTAGGTGAATTTGGTGCCCTTTATGTTATGCTGAGGCTATCAAGAATCCGCTCAAGTGATGTAGCCAAGTTTATTGAAAAATCATTGGAGGAAATCAGCTTGCAGGTTGTCTTTAAAGGCAGATGAGCCTCATTCCCCTTCTCCCTCTGTGCTGTTGAAAATGGGAACTGGCAATGCCAGAGGCTGGGGCAAGGATACATTTCCCAGTCCAGCTGCTGACTCACAGGCAAATCTGTCCTCCTGCCTCCCCCCAGGCTCACTGTCTGTGGAGCAGAGAGCAGTGAGCAGTGAGCACAGTTCCCCAGGTGAAAGAAAGCTATCGAGCTGTGGTGCTCATGTCCCTGATTCTGGGAGAGCAGGCAGGGGGCAGCTGGCCAGTAAACTTGCTGAGAGACCCTTTGAAGTGGCCCAGCCCAGCAGCCTCATGGGTTGCAGGCTGAAGTCTTTACAGCCCTTGGCTGGAGATAAGGGTCGCCAAATTACTGTAACAGCCAGGACTGGGGTCAAGTGCAGTGCCTCAAAAACCTCTGCAGATTTTTCTGGGAATAGGTGCATGGGCACAGCTGCCAGGTCCCCCGCAAAGCCATGGGTGGTAGAGCAGTTTGAGCTGGGGTTCACATCCATAGCCAGGGTCTGACTTTCCAGCCCTGAGCTAGGGAGGAACCTCCCTGGCCAAAGACAGTGGCTGTGGCTCTCCCCTGCTCCTGCAGCAGCCTAACAACATTGTTCAGAGCTGCTCCTGATGTTCCCCCATCAGCACCGAAGGGGTGAGTGGGGCTGTTGGGGTGCAGCTCTCGTCTGAGGGATCGAGGCAAGCAGCCAGGAGGCTTATAGTGTGCTGTGCCTGACCTGACTAGTGTTACTGCGGAGCGTGGGCAGCTGTTGTTCCATCACCTGGGCAGCTCCAGCTTGGTGGCTCATTAGCAGGTAGGATATTTTAGCAACTGTCAAAGAACTGGAGAAGCACCTTGTTGGGTGAATGGATGAAAACATTTTAACTCCCACAAAAGAGGGAGAGGTGGTGATTAGCTGTGAAATGACAATATGAAATGTCACAGGCACAGACAGTAAGCACAACTGTTTGTTATTATATTAACAGCTTTAATTTTCTGCCTTTAAACACCAGTTTCCTGTCAGTGCAATTAGATTGTGTCTGTTGTTTAATTTAGATCAATATACTCCTGCGTTTGGAGTTTTCCTTGCATGTCCTCTGTGAGGCAAGAAGCAGACTAACCAGCAGGAGCATCTTTTCTTATGTCCTTGAGGTGAAAGCCAGTTTGTGAAGAGGGTATTTAGGTGATGCATGTCCCCACGGAAGGTGAGTGTAACCTGCAGTGATTTATGAAATTTCCACAGATCGGAGTGGGGAAGAGATGATGGCATAGGAACACCTTGAAGAGGCAGGCAGTACAAACAGCACATAGTAATATTTTTAGTGAATTATCTTGTAGACGGCAGAAAATAATGTGAGGAACAGGGGGAGCGGAGCAGACTCTTATGCCAGATATTATTGAAGGCCTGATTCTGATTGTGGTTACACCACTTAAAGTCTGAAGTTTCTCAGATGATGTTAATGCTGCCTTGATACCTGTAAAAGTGAGATCAGTATTGGGCTAGATGCTAAATGCCAGAAAACAGTGCATTTAGTAATGGGATTTCACTGATTTTTCCTGTTTGAACAAGTACCAATATTTTTACCTGCTAGGCAAGAGGAAGGGAGGCCCAAGAGAGTACAGAGATTCCCGCTAATTTCAACCTGGATTTTCTCAATGTCAAGGATTTTTCAGTGTCATTTGAACCTGATGCCACATCCCTGTCTCTTCCTGTAGATACCCTTTGTGTTCACCAGCAGGATGATACGCAGCTTTCACTGACATTTGTGCCTTGGTGAGTGCTTGTGAGAGAGTGACACTAAAACAGAGACTCCTGTGCATTTTCCCCTCTCTCAGCCTTGGCCCAGGACTTCTGTATGTAATTTTTCTGTGCATTACATAGGGTATTTTCCTCCTGCATGGACTAATGCAGTATGAGTCAAGGAGCTTTATTTTGAGTAGCTAGTCATTTTCATTTGCTTTGTTGCTCTTACAGCACTGATCTCTGCAAGATTTTCCCTCATTCCACTGATACTCCTGGAGCATCAAGTTTTTTCTGTCAGCTCAAATGTTTTACTTTGGTTTCTCATCTACTTCAGTCTGGCCTCCAGAAACTATGTTGCTCCATCCTCATCTCCTGGACAGGGAGGAAGCTTACTGCTGTGGGGAGGCTGGCCTCCAAGCTACCTGTGTCCAACCCAGCCTGCTGTTCCTATCATGGAGAGAGAGATAGATCTCAGAGGATGGGCTGTTTCCCCTCCTTCCTGAAATAGGCTTCCAGGCATAACAGGAAATGGTGTCCTTTCAGTTTTGCATCTTCAAGAAGTCCAACATGGGAATAACTGAACAAGGGATCCCAGTCCTGAATGGGTGAGAGCAGGTGATCCACTAACCTTGACAGGAAACATGAGGAACACTGCTGCAGCACCATACCCAGCACACACCACATACTGAGGGGATGCCAGAAAGATTTTGCCTGCCATGGAGATGTGGAAAAATGGCAGTGCTGGGTCCAGCACCCACCCAGCAACTCCAGGCAAATGTGGCAAGGAGTACAAGCAGGAGCCCCAGCACTTTAGCCTGGGTACCAAAACCTGTCTGTTGGACTTAAGATGAAAGCCTGGGGTCCCTGGAAATGCATCATGCATTACAGAACACAGGAGCTGTCATGTTAGATTAAACAAATGGTTCGTCTGTCTCAGAACTAGACTGCCTGGCAGTGGTCAGTAGCACAAATTCAGCCTGCAGAAATGGCCAAAATAAAGCACTGGGCCAGGATCCAGAGCTGGGCAGGGATCTGATTTTCAGTTTCTGAATATTTGTTTGATATTCTGATATCATATATACCATCTAAAAAGCTCTTCCTTATTCCCTTCTCTAGGATCTACCGTTCCTCCTCCATTTTGCTGTGACATCAGCAATTATAAGAAAATCACGACACCCAAAGGCTGCATCAGAAGAAAGAGCCAAGTAGCTGATAACTCTTTCTGCTTACAGAGTGGTGTTTGGTCCCAGCTTTTACCTGATACGTGGCAGAACTTTCCTTACTATCCAGTTTAGACTCTTCTTCCTTTAACACATGATATCATAGGTAAAAGATTTCCCTGGATATCTAGGTATCCCTCCTGTCTACCCTGAATCTCTGGCTGGACAGTAATTCTTACAAGGAGCTGCTCTCAGCATTTCTTCAATGGTGGGCTCCTCCCTTCCCTTTCAAAGTTAACGAAGTACTTGAGCCTGCACCTGTTAATTTCCATCAGGAGCATAACCCTTTCCACTTTACAGGATGGAGCATAAACATTACAAATTAAATCTCCAATGGGTAAAGAAGGAACAATCACTTTCTTATTTTTTTTTAAAGGTACTTTGGGGCTTTTATCAGCAAAGCATTGTGTCCATTAAGAAACAAATTAAATAATTCTGCAGGCAAGCTAAGTACTGTTCCCATTCCAGAATTAATACTGCCTCTTTCCACCAGGAATGTTTAAGGGTCCCTCCCCCATGCCATGGGATTATAGCTGCTTTTAGTTCATAGATGGAGGATTAATCAGTGGAGCTCCTTTGCAGAGCTCCTGAAATAGAAATCACAAATCAGGGAGACTGGCAAGGAGTCTGGGAAGTGACAAATGTGAAATTATGTTGCACTTTTGTTTGGCATCTGTGCAGGCAAGAAGACTGTGGTGACTTAGAGGTTCTTACCTGATGTGGGATGACTCTGGTTGCTTTGGAAGGATACCTAGGGTTTGGGACATGGAAAAGCAGGGTGGCTGCAAACTCCAGTATCCAAACAAGAAGTTTTGAGACTTGTCAGAACCATGTGTAGGAGAAGATAGTGAGAGGCAGTAATTGAAACCAACACATTGTTCTCTGCCATCAGGAGTAGAGATCCTGATTCATGCTGGTGGAGCACCAGAAGCTGTAAGTTCCCCATTCTTTTGGGACTTTCTTGACAGAGTATCCCAAATCAGACTCTTCTAGATTCCTTTCCCTCAAACCCACAGATGCTGACTCTCAGTCTGTCCCACTAAGTTCAAGACCAGAGCGTAAGGTGGTCTGCCTTGTTAGTATCACCTGCTTATGCCTGAACACATTTTAATTTGTCAGAAAGATTTCAATATTTGATCCCCAGTTTATCCCCTTGTGATGTTGCAGCTGTTTGCATGTGATACAGGTGTGCAGATAAGGAAAAATTAATACAGTCAATTTTCATGTAAACAGTACCATCATAAGTCCCTTTATGCCAGTTAAAGTGTGATTGTGGAGGAGGAGGGAATACTACTTTAATTACATTGGCTTTGAAGCTAATATCATTAAGTCAGAATGAAAAATTATGCACAGACTATTCCTAAGGGTTTAAATTTAAACAATTCCTATTGAAGAGAAATTCCAATAGAGAAAATCATTGACAGAATGGTGTAAAGGGATAAACCTTTTCTCAGCTTCACACTCAGTACATTTTGCCCAACTAAAACTGTTGTAAGTGGCTGTGTTGTGAAGCTGAACTCTGATAGCTTAGCTGATGGGACAACTTGACAGAGCCTGTCTTGGACATTTATTTTGATTCCCCTGGGATATTACTTAGAGAAGGATGAGGTGAAAGCCTGACCCCTAATAGAAAAGATGCACTAGTACAAAGATGCACTAGTACAAAGATGCCTGAAGTTGCTGATTTGGACTCATGATACTGTCAAGAAAGTCAAACAAATGCTGATCTTGATCTTTTCCTGACCATGTTTTGGGCCCCAGCATTTGTTCTATTAGAACATCAGAGGACTTTTTCATTACCTGTTGGGTTTCCCCACAAACTTCTTAGAATCATAGTATGATTGTGGTTGGAAGGGACCTTAAAGATTATCTAGTTCCAACATCCCCTGCCATGGGCAGGGACACCTCCCACAAGACCAGTTTGCTCAAAGTCCACCCAGCCTGGCCTTGAACACTGCCAGTGATGAAACATCCAGAACTTGTTCCACTGCTTCACCAACTTATGAACTTCTCTCAGAAAATCCAATAATGAAAATTTTCCAAAATTATTCTCAGTCCTCAGGATTTTTTCACTGCAAAGAAGAAAAAAGAAAATTGGTAGGAATTGCCCTTAGTTTCTAACAGTCTAACCTGCTTATGTCAATAGATGCATTAATATAACTTGTCTGGGGCAAGAAGGTGTGTTTGAAACATCTCCCTTCCCCTGGAGATGGTTTAGGCACAGAGCCAAAACACCTCAATATGTGTGCTGATGTGGCTGGGTACGATTCCACCCTGCAGATGTCTCACCTAGCCTTTACTGCCAAGGAACTGGAGGCATTGTGATGTGCCATGTCAGCTGCATGACACACGTGCCCATGCTGGGTCACAATGGGAGGCTGCAGCAGTCCCTATCACCCTCCTTTCCCTGCAAATGACAGTGGACTCTAGCTAGCAATGTCCATCTTTGCATGGGGCCTGCCTCTTCCTTCTCCCCAGAACCTCCCCTTTTAAGAGCAGGTATGAGACAGAGGCACACCTGACCCTTCCCCAACAGAGACTGTCTAGCACAAAACTCATGGCACAAATACAAATGTTTTATTATTTTCCATGGGCTGACCCTCTTTAAGGCAACTGAGAGTTTTTTTTAAACTGTGCACAGTCAGGCCCGTAACTTCAGCACATCACTTCAGGGAGACCTGAGTGCACCATGCCCCAGAGCTGCCTTGCTTTTGACCATGTTCTCCTTGCTGTGAGAGATACTTTCCTGCAAGAGGAGCTTCAAAAAACACTTTCCCCTATCTCTGAAGCAGTCAGATATAGGGACACGAGGGGAGAGCTTTCTTTCTAGCCTATATGTGAAGATATTAAGCAGGGCCTGGTCCCCTGCTGCCTGACCCACATGACTGTCTTCTTAGACTTTTTCAATCTGTTAGACAGCTGCCATCCAACTCAGACCCTAAATATTTATCTTACTTCTGAGGTGTCATCCTCAAAGCAATCTGTCTTACTGACATGAGCACAAGGGAAAACAGCCCCACACTGACATCAGACACCAAACTCTCACACCCCAGCAAGCCAGAATCAGCATTTGTTGCTTTTCGTCTTTGCAGCTGGGGACTTGGAGAAAGGTGTGAGAAGTGAAAGAGTGGCAGGGGAGCAGTGCTGGAGCTCAGCTCAGGTGGCTGCTGTCTGGAGCTGCTTTTATTTAGGAGCCCTGAAGTACAGTTTTCACTACTTCTTGCCCTCTGTAGTGTGGGAATGTCCACCTGCCTTTGTAAATAGCTGAAAGAACAGTAAATATTTTTATTTGCTTTTTGTGCTGTCTAAGAATAGGAAAAAAATCCAGATGGTTGTTCACTTCTTAAGAGGGTGTTGGGGAAGGGCCCCTGTGGAAGTCAAACATAGAAAACATGAATTTCTATATGAGAAACTGAGCTCAAACATCAGATTGTACAGACAAGAGGTGGCTTATATGGTATGGAAGAGAGGTAGAGGGGCAAAGGAGGTGAAGGCTGTCTCATACAGAACACTAAGACCCCCATTATCTCCAGATAAGCACCTGACACTGTGTGCAGAGAAGGAAATGATCACACAGAGAGGATAAGGGGGCACCTCTGAAAGACACAGCTGATTTGAGAGCATGGGTAGTGTCCACCCTAATGGCTGGCACTGCCCAGAGGTGAATAGCCACAGAGCATGTTGCCTTTGTACAGAAGAGACATGAAGCTGGGGACTGCCCAGAAATTTTCAGAACACTCCCCAGACTTCATCACAGAACTACAGCCTCCAAACTAGCCTGACCATTTTGAATATTGAATTTCAGATGAAGGCTTAGTAATGCTTCTCATTTCTGACTCTACTTCCTGATAAGTTTATGTTGCCTCCTCTTCTTCCTGCATTCCTTCCCCACATCCCTCTTTGCAGTGTTGGGAGTGAGCTACTGTAGGTGGAGAGCTTCTGAGAGCTCCTTGGTGTTGCCATTCCTACCTACTGAAGGAGAGAGGAATATCCCAAGAGAGAATTATTTCTGAGGCCATAAGAAGCAGCATGTCCTCGCTGGCTCCCACCCACAGCAATGAAGCATGCCTGGGAGCACAAGACATGTTTATTATCCACTATATGCACCATCTGGGAGATTTGTTCATGCCAAAACAAAAAGTAGAGTCAGGCCCAAGAGAATGGGAGCTGTGATCTATGGATGCATGCTCAGTGTCTGGAATTAAAGGATTCTTGTCCTCAGCAACTCTGAGCAAAGACTTCAAAGTAGAGAAAGGTGAGGTACTAAAGCAGCCACCCTCCACAGCAACTGGTTTCAGTCTGGTTGACCCTGCAGGGAGTTTAAGAAGTCTCCAATCCAAATGTGCCAGGACAAAGGACCTGGGTTGGCTTGACCCTTGACTGGAGTGGACTAGTTGTTGTAAAAAGACTATTTTAATTTTTATAATGCTATAAATGTACATGATGCAATGTTATTTAAAAACGTGGTTCAAATTTGACAGTTTGAAGCAAAAGTTTCCAGGAACAGACCCCTGTTGTCCAAGTGCTGATCCTCAAGGCTCAGAGCGAATATGGCATGGGCTGTACTTGACAGCTTCTCAGGAGAGAAGGTTACACTTCTTAAATAATACCTGTGATTTTTAAAAGAGCATTTGTTTGAAGACCAGCTGTACTGTGAATTAAAGCTAGAAAGAAGCAACATAGCAGTCACAGTCTTGTGAAAGCAGTGCAGGCAAATACAGTGTTTAACAAGGCTACAGATCCATGTTCTGGCTTGGTGGTTCTCTCCTGGAGGTGTGAGAAGCCCAGGGACCTAGCAACCTCCACAGTCTTACATAGCCTTGGCTAGATAAAGAGACCTCATCAGCTCATTTTTCAACTGGTTTTTTTCACATTTCAAGATCACTGAAGACTATATTAAATAGTACAATCCCCTGGTACTAAAACTTACTGTATCTCACTAATGGTGTTTAACCATAATGAAAATTGGTCATTTGTTCCTCTTGATTTTCTTTTGCTTTGCAGTTTTGCTCTAGTTTATGATGTTTCTTTGCCTCTAGCTACTTAATTT